TGTAGGACCAAGTTTATTATTTACTTAGACGTCTTCTATAGCGCTGACTGTAGTTTGGTTTCTTGATTTTTGTTGACTAGATGATCATTGGAAAGAGTTGGCTATAAGTTATTTATTAATAATAATGTTATTTTATAATAATTAAAAACAATAAAAATTGAGTCAACAAGAGAAGATTTGGATCAGGAAGAAGAAAAGATTGGAGAAGAAACTGAAGAAAAAACTAAGGAAGAAACTGAAGAAGAAACTGAGGAAGAATCCAATAATAGCATTAATAGACCAAATATTATTAAAATTGGTAATTTGGTCAAAAATATAATTTATGACGCTCTTTGTAATTATTTTGATTCACCACCAAATTTAGTCTTACTTGCAAGTATTTTGAATCCTAGATTCAAAAAAATAAAAAATTGGCTAGAAGAAAAAAAAGAAAAAGCAATCACTTTATTAAGATCTAAATATACTCTTTTTAAAGATGAGGAACTTTCAAATAATAGTCAAGAGTCTAATAATAAAAATAGTTATCATTTTAAAGGGCATAAAGAAAAAACAAATAGCAATTTTAAATTATGTCTGTTTGAAGAAGAAGAAGAGATTATTAATGAGGATGAAATTGATTCTTACCTCGATAAATTTCGAACACCACAAGCTAATAGTGATGAAGATCCATTTAAATGGTGGAAAGATAATAAGAAAGATTTTTCTATTCTTTTTAAGATATCTCAAAAATATTTAGGAATTCTAGCGACATCCGTTTCTAGTGAACATCTTTTTAGTGATGCAGGTAAGCAAATAATGACTGAAAGAAATAGGCTTAACCCTGAAACAGTCAGTGAACTTTTTTTTATTAAAAGAAATAGAGAATATTATAATTTTTATGATTAAAAAAATATAATTGTTATTACTGTATTTTTTAAATTTGCTGTGATTTTAGTATACATCTAATAAATATTTTGCAGTTGGCTTATTAATATAAAAGTGTAGCATTTGTTGTCTTTTCATAAATGCATATTGTTGATAAGAGTGTACTTACAGAGTATGCGCTTGTTGAAACTACATATAAAGTTATCCAATTCATTAGACTAACTTAAGTGAATTAATGAAGAATCATTTGTTCAATAAGTTATATGCTATACTAAGAATTCCGAATATCTATAAGGTATGTAATCATTCTTAAAAGACCCGATTCTCAGAATGATACCTGTGAGCATTATTTTATGCTTATCAGTATCTATAATATCTTCTTCATAATTAAGAATAAGCCATTGCTGAATTCAAATAATGATATATACATAGTAATTTGAAAAGTGCAGCAATTAAAAATTTTATAATAATATTTACGATAATAGAGGGTTTCATAATTATGAAAAATAGTGTATTCCAAAATAAATAGAAGCATTAAAAATTCTGTTTGTATTTCAAAGCTTCGAAATTGGAAAATGAAATGAGTATTTGGAAACTCTATGGATTCAAATTTATCAGAATATAAATGAGTGCTGACAAATTCAAACCTGTAAATAAAAAGTTTTCACCATATAGAACTTACATTATCGGCATATAAATTACATGAATTATCTATCATGCTTAATATAATTGGTACTTTAAACAATTGATATACACTATTTGTCACTCCAAGTATTTTACATAGTGTTTTATGATCCTTACAGGTTTAATTCGACTGCTCTCAAACAAAGTTGATACACGCTTATTTGAAAATAAATACGTAATCTATTTCTATCAAAATTAGGTTTCCGCTCTTTAATTCTAAAACCCTTCAATTATAATTTTCATCAAAACTGTTTGGGACGGTAATGATTATAGTTTTAACCAAGTTTTAACCATATGTAATGCTAATCATCTCACACTATACATCATAATGCTTAATTATTACATGATTATAATTATGAAAATTACAATGGATGTTAATTTTGACATAAATTACAATATGTGACAATTAAGCATTATACATCTTTAGTAAGCCGTCTCAAATAGTTTGAACAGCAATTATATCCTTAATAAATATAATTTATTATAGTATTTTTCATAGTTTCACTATAAGAAATATTTAATTTTAGTTAATTACAGGTTAATATTTAAAAGATTTCCGATTCCTAGAGATATATATGCACTATATGAAATTTACCTATCATAATAATTTTAAAACACTATATAATTTAGATTACCTAGATAATATATACTTATCTAGATACTTATATACAGGTTAAATATAGTATAATCGATCAATAATTGACCTAATAATTGATCAATTATATCAACTCGAGCTTGTAAATTACATGCTTGATCGATTATACTCAATCAAGCATGTATTCTTGATTTTTGATCAATTAAAAAATTTTTTTGGGGGTCAATCATCAATCAACAATTTTTTTGTCGAGTCAATTCACTACTTGACGGTACTTATTTTATATTTGTTTCAAAATAATGCCCATGTGTGTATTCAAAATAACGCGTACATATTTAAAATAATACGCAGATG